ATCCTTTACACACTACTCCCTATTCTGACAGAATTCCCACAAGCTCTACTGGATATAGCTGGGATTGCAAGCTTCCTGAACACTCGATAGAGTTGACAGGAACTTGCCTGGACCTACGAGGAACCAGCGCATTTCTGTCTGCTAACTGCAGAAGCCACAAATTATGTTTCACAGATTCTTTATGCATTTATTTTGCAGCTCTTGAGGGAATGAGATGGACTTTAGTTGTGTGTGTCACTTTGTGTGTCACAGCTGAGTGGCTAGACCGGCTCAGCTGATGATCCAGCACTGCTCTGCATCACCAAAGCACTATTCACCCCCATGGCGTTGGATTATGACAGAATTAGACCTATTTTTCCTAATGTTAAAATGCTGATAAGCCAACACCCCGAGCCTTGGGCAGACAATGAAGTCGGCAGAGGGTAAGTACAGACTGTTGTAAGTAGGATCTGAGAAGCATTTAACTGACTTTAACTTTCACTCCACACAAGTTTAGAAGATCTTTCTCCCTAAAAACAGCTACCCATTTTTGAAAGCTTCATGCCAGGGAGGGCTTCATGCCTTCCTCCATACATACTGGCACCACTGGAAGATATTACTAACTCCATCCACTTCCCACAGCTCCCACACTTATAGCTGGGACTAACGCTCCCCCTTCTCTACCAATACTCAAGTTATTAATCACACTAATCAGCAACTCCAATTGGTTAAGCTAATATAGGTGATCTGTGGACACAGCTGGATGCAGCACAGATCATCTGACATGACACTCCACAACGACTCATGTGAGCAGGCAGGCAGGCATGCGGGGCGTTTGGCCACACAATGGGTACAATCCTGCCCACGGAGCGGTTATAAGCACGTGTGCTTCTGCGCGCAGGGTGTCAGACGTCACGGCAGGGACCGTGACATTAAGCTGCTGCCAAAGAGAGTGCCCTCTCATAACCACTTGACACAGGGAACGTGTCAGCCCTGTGACTTCTCCTCTGATATGACATCCCAGATACAACAGGTCAGCGAGTAAGAGGTGAGGAAGACTGGCTGCATGTGGCACCAAGAGCCAAGCCAGGAAGAGGGCAGCTGAGCTACTGACCTGCAAAACAATGCAACATTCAGAGATACAATAAAATTCATCAAATTACCTTTTCTGCTTCTGCATTGGTAAGAATTTGAGGGTAGACTCTGTTAAGCTGAAGAATAATTTTATCAACAACTTGCTCATTCAGTCTGCTATTGCTTGTAAGAAAATACATGTCGTGTTGCAGCCGATGACAGTATGACTGATCTAGAGATAAAATGATAGAAAGAACAAATGACAGCGGTTAATTAGCAAGCCATTTTTAAATTCTGTAAATTTCATTTTCCTAACAGTGGTTAAATAGGTAAAATGAGATTACGTCATGTAATTTTAGAAAGCTGAACTTTCTATTAGGGAAACACAACACAGCCACGTGCTTTCAAAGACCCATCCGCTTAAAATTACATCTGAACTCCCGGCCGGTCGCTCATGCTGCCTCTCTCTTTCCAAAGGGAGAAGGTCCTAAATTCTTCAGATGTCACACACTGATGCGTATTTTATCAAACACAGTCCTAAAGTTGTTAAATGACTCAAGAAAAATTTTGTATCATTTATGAAGTCAGATTAAGGAGTTTAAAACTAATGCAGTTTATAATTTTTTAAATGCAAATATGTATTTCAGAGAGAGAGCACCCGAGGACTGCAGCAGAGCGTGGGCCGGGCCAGGCCGCAGAGACGCTCGCAGAACTGGGCAGAGCTGGGGGCTAGCTGAGCGGGGGTGATTTGGCCCTAACATCACCCAGCCCTCCAAGAGTTTGTTGCTGCCTTTTGTCTAACGGGAGACTTCAGCCATTGAATTTGCCTAGCAGCTGCCCAGACTGAACCAGAACGGGAACATCAGGAACAGCATCTCTGCCAAAGAGCCAGGATGTTTCCAGGGAAGGACTTCTACCTCCACCTAAGTGGGGAGAAAGGGCATTCTGAGAGCAGTACATTTTTATCACGGAAGCACACTCAAACACTCGTACAAATAAAACGCGTCTCTTTCTATTAACCCAAACCTCTGCAAATACACAAATCCAGACTTGCTCTTGTGCTAGGCACCAATGGGACAGCAATGGATTTTGCAGGAGCATAGCTTTCCCTCTAGCTGCTTGCCCATAGTCCCTGGATTAAGATACAGGCACAGGCTGGTTTCACGGGTTACCGTGCCCTTATCAGATTTAGAAAGAGAATGTCTACAACCGTGGCCGAAATAAGCATTAAAATGTCAGTACAGCACTTGATAACCAAGCAGCACAGAAAACAAATACAAAACACTGCCACCCCCACCACTCTAAAGCAAAGGCATAGGTTGTACGATATTTTGACTACCAATACATATACCACACATACCAACACATAACCATCAGCCCTTTGTGCCCTGCAATTTAGAGAAGATAAACGAAAGAATGAAGAGCCGGAAAGCTCCGGCACGATGCACTACACCCACACGCAGCCCTTGTCCTTGCTGTACCATGTCCCTTCTCCGTATCTGTGTAGCACTCACAGCACTTACAGGAAAGGTTCAGGAAACCCCCCAGTGTGACCATCACCCACTACTAACTTCTTCAGTGCCAGTGTCACTCCTACTGAAGCAAGAAGGCACAGCTATTGATACTGCACAGAGAGCTGCAATCCTACGGGCACAACAGGATTTCAGTTACATCCTTACTTTTTATACCAACACCATATTATTTCCGTAGCTATTGATGGCTACAGGCTGTTCAGAAGGGACAGGCGAGGAAGGAGGGGCGGAGGCCTTGCCCTTTACATTAAGAAATCATTACAGTGTGAAGAGCTGTCCCTGAAGAATAGCCACGAGCAGGTCGAAAGCTTATGGGTAAGAATCAGAGAGAGAGGCAACAAAGGGAACCTGGTGGTTGGTGTCTACTACAGGCCGACAGATCAAGAGGAGCTGACTGACGAAGCCTTCTTCCTCGAACTCCAGGAGGCTTCATGCTCGCAGGCTCTCGTCCTACTGGAGGACTTCAACCACCCTGACATCTGCTGGAAAACCAACACGGCAAGCTGTAGGCAATCCAGCAGATTGCTAGAATGCATTCAGGACTTTGCAGACCAGGTTGGATGGGTCTCTGAGCAACCTGATCTAGTTAGCCGTGTTCCTGCTCACTGCAGGGGGGCTGGACTAGATGACCTCTAGGGGTCCCTTCCAACCCAAAACATTCTATGATTCTACGATTCCATGTGCTTCTAATGCCTCGACTTTCCACAGCTTGCTCTCAAGGCAGCTTTTCAGTGCACTGTCAGAAACACACTGCCCTGACACACTTGCTGCACAATTCCGTTTTGCTGCACCAAGTTCCATCTTATCTGATTCACGGCTGGGATCAAGCTTCTCTTCAAATCAGCTCACTGGCATGCACAAAAGGCTGAGGCAAGGGCCCAGTATAAAGTAAAATAAAAGCAGGCTCCAAGTGTCATCTCCTTCCCTGCTTCTTGCTCTGTTGCTGCCTTGTTGTTCCTGAGCCCCGCATACCCAGAGGTGTACAGCAGCAATGACACCAATGAAGTTAACTGCAACCAACCGAAGGTTGCATTTAAGCCAAGAACATTCTCCAAGCAGTCAGGAGCACTCCACATCCTCGCGGCACCTTCCATTTATGCACACTCATTAAACCACCACCAGTCTTGTTGAGAGCTTCTTGCTGCCACCTGAAACCTGCATGCGGGTGCACTGTAGGTTACTGTATTACGAGGCATGAGCCTCTCTGAGTTTTCATGGGTGGCTATGTTTTCTTCCCATCTAAGCCAAAAGGCAGGAAAAGAGAATGAGACTATGCCCTTGGCCTCTAACTGTGCCTGCCAAGGACAGGTCTTACACCTGGCTCAGGCATCTGCAGGACGCTTCTCCCATCCCATAGGATGCTCCATTTTTAGAAGCACCCATGGAGCAGTCTGCTTCCTCCTCATTCCCACAGGGATGTTTCACCTGCCTGCACCTTCACTGCCTCCAAAAGACTTCAGTTCAGTATTTAGGACGGGTCGCAAGGCTTAAAATTTCCTGAAGAGTGGCTATCAAGCTCAACATGAGCTCAGTGAAAGCAGAGCAGAAGTAACTTCCAGTATCACACCTCATCTCTCCTCTAACTCTGAGAAATCCCTGCCCAAACCACACAAAGAACTGCCTTCAGGCTTCTGGCAGACCAGAGGAGTGAAACTTCCCACCGGCACCAACCACCAGGGCAGAATTGTGCTCCAGCTACTAAACAGAAAGAAAACAAACAAAAAACCCTCCACCAATCCTAGCTGCTGGAAGATGGCACCCTGCTTTGGGGCAATGAGAGTACGTGGAAAGCACACGTGTGCATCTGAAGCCATCCCATGATGCTCCAGGGCCCCGCCTGCCCCAGGAGCTCCAGCAGCTTTGTCATGGCATGGACTTGCCCCCATGCGCGGCCAGTCATGGCCCCGTTACGGGTGTACAAACATGAGCGTGCTACGAAGTTCTATAATCACTGTTCACGAGCAAATGCTTTTAAATATTGAACACACCCATTATTTACATTTTAAAATAGCAGACACCCCAAACCAGGTACCATCACAACCGTAGCAAGGCTACTGACATGCTGTCAGGCCCTCAGAATTTAGGGAGGGGTTGTTCAGGATATTTTGCATATTCACCTTTTATTTCACTGCCTCAAAGAGGCGACAGTTATTGCAAGGAAAATTTAAAATCTTTACGCCGAGCAGACTTGGGTTTTTAGCAGGAGTCACCCCAGCATTACAAGGACAGTCGTGCTGTTAGCCAGTGCATCCCTGAAAGGTCAGAGCAGCAAAATCGTGAGACCAGGTCAATGAAGCACAGCTTGCAGCACAGGCGTGGCACTGCCTGGCATTTTACCGCCCTCAGACTGCCTGGGGATTGCATCTGACTCTGAATTTGTACTTTGATATTACTGCAGCAACGCCTTCTCCTCCACTAGAACACTGATCTAACTGGGCTTAATCCTGCCCGCAGGCTTTGGGCCCAGCGGCGGGTTTGCTCAGGCGTGGAGCTGCAGCGGGGGAGCCTGCAGGCTTCAGCCCAGCTGGAGGGATGGCAGCAGCCAGAGCACAGAGGCGGCCACCTCAGCTGGGACTGGATGCCGTCTCACTGAAGCTTACCTAAAGGCTGCCTAAAAAAAGGTTGGTATTTTCCTTACTGAGAGGAAATGTAAACTTGTCAAAGAAAGACAGGAAACTCAGGAAGCGCCTTTGACAGCTGAGAAGAAAACATGAGTCAATAATTTCATGTTATTGACTTATAATTACTATAATAAGCCCATGACACATCATACACAACCAGTTTTTCCTTTCACCCCAGTACAAAAGGCCTCTGGCATACAGCATACGCACACCATGCTAACACACACAGCCTGCACCCGACCACACACCTGGGTGGAAGGGAAAAGCACGTATAATTAAGGGATATCAGAGAAAAGCAAGAGATTACTGATTATTTGTAGCAGCAGCTCCTCAAATAGAGAATACATAAAATCAGAGATGATAAATTGTGCAAGCACCAAATGACAGTGACAAAGCAACACACTCATTTTTCACCTGCAGTAAGAGTCACCCCCATTGCAACCCCTCATAAAATGACCTATCTCTATCCTCCCTTCCGTAATGGGCCGTTCAGCTTCCGGCAAGACCTGCAGAATGACCCAGGCATTATTCCAAGTGCTGGCATTTTAAGGCTGCTGAAATATATTCTGCTCTTTGAAGGAACGAGGCTCATAAAAAATCTGATCGTGTGCGACCGTAATGTGCCCAACAGCCTTCTAGAACACCTGCAAGAAAAAGGTCAAGGCTGGCAGAGCCACCCTTCCCAAAGCTCTTCCTAAGTAAACAGCAGACAGCATTCAGAGTCTTTCAGAGACATCTCCTCAGGTAGGCACCAGCATGCCAGACCCTGGAAGCAGCCCAGACGTCAGACAAGCGCCGCGGCACTGCTGCTCTTGCTCCATATGCCCATGGCAGGCGGCTGGTCCCTGAAGGGTCTCACCCGCCAGCAGCACAACACATGGATAACACATAACTCCGAGGTTATAGTGGCTGTCAAAAAAACCCTTCTAATTTTTATTCTGCTTAATTATTCTCACTATAAAAGACCCCATTGTTGTTTTCTGTACAAGGAGCATCAAACAGGATTTTGCCTCTTGCAGTTCCCTGCAGACGCTCCTCTACGATCAACTTTCACTGCCCTTATGGGCAAAACCACGCGGCCCTAGGGACCTGCCACCTTAAGCTGGGGTCTGTGTTGCCACCTCACGTTTATCACAGTAAACAAATAAACCCAGCTGCATTTCAAACTCACAGGCTGCAACCAGCCCCCCCGCACTGAGACATGTTACCGCTCTTACCCACACTTGGGCCCTGGGAGCACAAACGCTGCCAACTGCCCTAAGTCAGGTGGGTTGGCCTTTCCCATTAATAACTCCACCTATGTTTACATACGGACACTTGATACTGTCTCTGACACCACTGTATGGCCTGGTTTGGGCTGGGATAGACTTAATTTTCTTTCTAGTAGCTGGTAAAGTGCTGTGTTTTGATATAGGATGAGAATAACATTGGTAACGCACCGACGGTTTAGGTGTTGCTGAGCAGTCAAGGACTTTCCAGCTTCTCATACCGGCCTGCCCACGAGAAGGCTGGAGCTGCACACAGGGCTGGGAGGGGGCACAGCCGGGACAGCTGACCCCAACCAGCCCCAGGGGTATTACAGACCATACAGCAACATGCCCAGTAGAGAAACTGGGGGGAGCTGGCCAGAGCATGGGCCGCTGCTCAGGGCCAGGCTAGTCATCGGTCAGCTGGTGGTGAGCAATTATTTCTCATTTGCATCGCTTGTCTTTCTTGGGTTTTATTTCTCTTTTTGTTATTTTCCTTTTTATTGCAATTTATTATTATTTTAATTATTAAACTGTTCTTACCTTAACCCACAAGCGTTGTCACTTTTACTCTCCTGATTCTCTCCCCCATCCCACTGGGGGTGTGAGTGAGCAGCTGGGTGGTGCTTAGTTACCAGCTGGGGCTAAACCACACTACTTTATTATGGTTTCATCTTGTGTTTGTTTTCCCCTCAAAGGCCTCCTTCAATTTACCAAGCAGACAGACAGGATCATCACAAGCAGATAAATTTAAATGCAACAGACACAAACCCCAACACATCGCTCTGACGTTCTCCCTAACAACACACACAATTCGTAAGCATCCATTCCAGAAACCTCAGTGCTATCTGCTGCAAGTTGCAACTTCCCGTAAAACTCCTGGATGATTTTCATAAACTCTCTAAAGGGGAGCTGACAGCCAAGACCCTGAAGGGACATCACCTGCCATTTGTACGTGTCCATGCAAACTCACTGATGGAGCATCTTGAGAGAGGGCTAAAAAGTCTTTCTCAATAAAACGTTAGTTTAACACGAACTTCATTTTTGGCTTTTCCCGTTCAAGAGCCCAAGAAAGGGTTGCTGAGGATTTAATAAGGAATCTGGCTACAGAGAAATGGTCTGAGATTGCGCCAGTTAATGCACCCCCGATGAAGAGCAACTGCTCTGCTCCTCTGGGCTGGAAGTGGCGATGTGGAGGTGACAGCGTGCCACCCTTCCCAGCCACGCTCGCCCACTGCCACGTGCTGGTGCTGCGGGTGAGTTAGCAACCAGAAGAGTCCTTAACAGCAAAATACAGACTCATTTAAGTTGGAAAAGCCCTTTAAGATCATCAAGCCCAACCATTCCCCTAACCCTGCCATCCCACCACTAAACCCTGGCCCTAAGCACCTCGTCTGGCCAACTTTTAAATACCCCCAGGGATGGGGACTCAACCCCTTCCCTGGGCAGCCCCTTCCAGTGCTTGACAGCCCTTGTGGGGAAGGAATTTTTCCCAATGTCCAACCTAAACCTGCCCTGGCACAACTTGAGGCCATTTCCCCTTGTCCCATCGCCCATTCCTTGGAAGCAGAGCCCGACCCCCCAGCTCTCCCCTCCTGTCAGGCAGCTGTAGAACTCAGAAACTCATCTTTAGCTGAAATATCTTTTAAAAAAAGAAGAGGAAAAAAAATAAAGCAGCGAGCAAAATATAAAAGCGCTCTTGATCCTCGAGAGCGGCGTTAGTTTATGCACAGTCCCAGTCCGCCGAGCGCCGTTCCAGGGCCAAGCCAAGGGGTCCCTCGCGTGGCCAGGGCGGCCTGCGGGCACAGGGGCGCAGGGGC